TATATAAAACGTGTATGCTACGTCATTTTTTATTGGTGTTATTTACAATTCACTTAAAAACATAATAATAATAATAATACGTGTCACACGTGATCGAAATTTCGATTTTATTGTTCGATTATTAAAGTTTTGATTTTTCCCTCCCTCTCTCCCTCCACCCTCTACCCCCCCTAATTTAAACTTTTTGCAAATGAATCATCGAACCTCTGAAAGCTTGTAAAAAAAAAAAAAAGTTCATTTTGTAATTTTTTTCTTTGTGAAATTCCAGACAATGACGATGAAATCGAAGATGTGCATGGCAATGATGATGATGTTGATAATGATGATGATGAAAGAGGAGAAGAAGAAGATGAAGAAGAAGAAGAAGAAGAAGAAATGGAAGAAACAGAAGACAATATGGAAGTTGAACCGACAAACGGTCAATCAATGTAATTAAGGATTAACCCTAATGTGACCCTAAAGTGACCCTGAAGGTAATTGTAAAAATCACTTTTTAACCTTTTTTTTTGAATATTACCATATAAAATTAAGTAAAATTTCTTTTTTTTTTCCTTTTAGGGTTAAAAAAAAAAAAATTTTTTTTTTTTTAAATTTATGAAAAGGTACAACCTTTAAAGGTGGAAAACAACCTTTAAACCTTTGGCTTTCGAAATAACCGATTAAAATGTTCCCCAGTGGCAGTAAGTAATTGCTAATTTGTGATTGCGAAAAAAGTTAACGTTAACTTTTTCGTTACCGGAAATACTTTCCTTTTTTCTTTTTCCTTTTTTTTCCTTTTTTTAAATTTATTATCAATTATCACGTAAATAAAAATGTGAGTAGTAAAAAAATTATTAAGCTGTTAAGAACGGTGGTTTGTGTGTGTGTATGATACTGCATACTTTGATTTTTTTGTTTGAATTTCACTTCAAGCAATAGAAGCGATTTGTAAAAAATAATTTTTTCTTCCTTTTTTTTTCCCCCCCCCCCTCCACCTGAATTTAGTATAAATGTACGTGTACTTACTTTGTTTAAATTTCAGCCTTAAAAGAGCAAGAATGAAACTCGGGTTCTTCGTGCATCACCTTTTGCCCTTCTGGCCATCCCCAGCTGTCATATGCTGGGATCGGAAGCTCCTGCCGTTCCCAATTTACCATCGCCACCTCCCCCAGTTCCCCCGCAACTCCCATCATCATCTCCACCGGAAATCCCTCTGTTCCCGACGCATATTCCCCTCAAGTCAATGTTGTACTGTTGACAAAAAAATATTATTTAATTCAAAAAAAAAAAAAAAAAAATTATCTCGATTATTTTAATTTAATTTTATAATAATATTGATAATATAATATAATATAATATAATAATGATAATTTTAATTATAATTTTATCATTTTAAGGAAATGAACATTCCAGGTACATACCTTATTGCAACAAACGAAACAGTTTGTCACTACTTTAGAAATAATGTTCATTAAACTTTTCGTTTCGTGTATGACTAGGTCAACTTTGGTAAACGTTGCCGTTTTCCCAACTGTGGGATCTTTTACCGTGAACTGAAGTTGCTGAACGTGAGTCGGAACACCTGATAAACTTTCTAAAAGTTCCATTTTGTGAGAACCCGCAGGTACCTGGAAAATCAAGGGTACGGGAAATCAAGAGTATTATTAAAATATTTGTAAAAAAAAAAAAAACCGCCAATAAGATTTTTTTTTTTGTTTTTTTTTTTTACCTGATATGAAAACTGTCGTGCTACTTTGTAAAGCCGATTGGCTTCCTCTGCAAAATATTCGGCTTGAGTAAATAAATCCTGAGTCGTTTTTAATGTACCTTCTCCTTTTGTGAATTGATACATTGAAAAAGCCATGGTCGACATATTTTTTGCTCTCTTAACAATGTCATTATCATCCTGTCGCCATTTGTCAGCCTCGGCTTCCATTTCATTCGTCATCATTTTCATTTCTAACCCTGATTTGGCTATTTTGGCTTGTTCTTCTGAATCTAATTTAGATGCTTTTACGGGTTTGCTTGTCGTACCGTGTTTCTAATATAAAAAAAAAATTTTTTTTTTTTTTTTTTTTTTTTAAACGAGTTTAAATATTTTCAAATGTTTTTTTTTTTTTATTAAATATAAATCACTCACTCCAGGCCTTGGAAGACTCATATAAACATGTTTTAAATCTTTTCCCTTGCAGACGTCAATTATTTCTTTCGTAACTGATGTTACGTCAGCAGCCAACGCTTGCCACATATCAATAAAAACTAAATTCAAATTATATAAATTTAATAAATTATCAACTGTCCTAAAAATTTTACTTTTAAAAAATTATTTTCATTTAAAAAAAAAAAAAAAAAAAAAAAATAATGATCGATTCGTATACAAAAAAAGGCATTAAAATGAATTCTAAATACTTGATTCAGTTTTTTTTTTTTTTTTTTTTACCTTCTAAATTTTCCTTTGCTATTTTTGACGTCGGGTAAATGGCTAATGTATTTGCGGCACTTAAAACTTGGGGAGCGTAAACTTTAACATTTATTTCAATATATTTGGCCGTCACTTGAAGCGAATCGTACGGAGCCATATGCCTCACTAATTTGCATATCTGAAAATTTAAAATCGATATTATTCTGCAAATTAATTATAACACTTTTATTAAAAAAAAAAAAAAAACTAACTTCCAAGATGTGATCCGTGTGTTCTGCAAAACGATCCCCAAAAACTTCTAAACGATCTAAATCAGCTCCCAATGCTAAATTTTTTAAACCATCTAAAGCCGCTGAACCTTGCCTTATTACATTTTCTAATTCGCCTGCCTGAAATTGTTATTAAAAAAAAAAAAAACTTGAAAATTTCGTTTTACTGGAGTCATTAAAACTATTTTCCAGAATTTATCGAGTAATTTTGCACAAATGAAGTACAAATTTAAAGCAATAAATTTTTTCAGACATTTACCTGCATGAATGCGGTTTCTTGCAACTGTCGCCTCAAGTCTCTTAAATTATTTAATAAAAATTCAACTGTTCTTTCCGTCTCATCACTTGGAGAAGTTCCATCGATGGCACATTCAGAATTTAAAAGAGCATCTAATTTTATTTTGGCTAGTTGTATATATTCTAATATTCTTTCTCTGTGTTCATGACTTGTATTAGCAGAATCTGTAAAGTCTTGTGCTCTCTCAATGATTGTCTCTAAAGCTTCAGTTAGTCCTTCCTATATTACAAAATTTTTTCTTGTCAATCGATCATAAACTTAAATGCAAAATTTAGTCGTTATAAAAATTTTACCTGACAGTGGGCAGCAAGCAATGCTGTTTGTACAAGTCCTTCCAACCTTTGCAATGCACCATGGATTGTTCTATTTGCTTCCCACTCTTCACTGCAACTAATTTCGTTAGGATCTAAAACTCCATCTTTTACAACATAATGTATTAAGTCCATAGCTCTTCTCATCTGACAAAATACTGTATCCCTGTTTTCTCTGGCTGAATGACATTCAGGATGCCTTAAGCAAGTCTATAATATATAATTTAATAAGTCTATTAAGATAATTTTACAAAAAAAGTCATTTTTTTTTTTACTTACTTTGGAAGAAACTAGTAACATCATGGTAGACCTTTCTAATACTTGTCTCGCTGCTTGCATTTGAGCCCTCCTTCTTTCATCTTTGGTATCATTTTGTCTATCACCTGTTAAATGAGCAAGTTCAACCATTTCAGCTCCAAACTGACTAAAAGCTTTTACAAATTCTGTAAAATTTGTAACATTTTCTAATCTTCCCAAACTCCTAGTTACCTACATACAATCGCAAAAACACAAACTATTTATAAGAGATTAATTACTTAAAAATAAACTGTACACATAATAATTTTTTGTTATTTTAAAATTTAATTAATCATACCTTATCTTTGGCAAGTAATAACTGTTTTACAACAACAATGTCAGCTAAAAGCAAAACTCTGGTAACTGAAGCTAGTAAAGCTCTTGCCGCTCTGACAACAGCACCTCTTTCCGTTAAACATTCTTCCATTTCACATAATTTTTCAATTCCTGCGCCTGCTTCCCTGGCTTCTTTGCAAGCCTTTTATAAAATTTGTATTAATTTAAGATTATAACTTTAAATAAAATTATTATTTAAAATTATAAATTAAAAATATATATATATATATATATATACCTCATACATATCAAGTTTAATTTCAGAATTTCCATCTCCAATTGTTTCACCGACAGTGACAAATCTTTCGACAGCCAAATTAACAGCTTGACCAACTCTTGCAACCACTCGTAAATTTCTTTCTGAAATAACTCCTCTGTCTCTAACATTAACTAAAGTTGAAATCTAAAAAAAAAAAACGTTAAAACTTAACATCTTTTTAAGATTTAAATATTAACAATTAAAAATAATTAATAATCTTTATTGCTAAAAAAAATTTTTTACAATTAGCCAAACGATTTAATTTGATTGCATTTAAGAGGTTATTAGCAAAACAATAAAATCTTATTAACATTTTTAAAAAAGTTAATTAATGTAAAGAAAATAATACTTAATGATAATTTACCTGACGATCCACCAAAATGGACATTTTGTATTAAACTAATATTTAATTTTTGAAATTTTTTCAACAGTAAGTTTTAAAAAAAATATTCACTTTCATTTTGAAACGTACCAAAATTTTTGATTTGTACAAAAAAGTTAAACGAATTAAAAAGTGCGCAAGTTATCCCCCCAGAATAATCAATAATAAAGCAGAAGATATTTACTCACATGGACAACGAGCCGGGATACATTTATATACCCAGCAGTGTACAAAACGGCACAGCCCACTATTTTAATATTTTAAAATAATAATTTATAAAAAAATATTTTTCTCCGATAACTTTACATAAATTATACATAAAACATACCTGTTTTACTAAAGGTAACAGTGTTTGTTCGATACTTTTTGTCTTAATTTCTAAATTGTTTTCTGGTTCAAACGGCTTTAAATCTGCCATGATTGTTGGTACGATACGGAAGTACCAATATTAAAAAATATTTTTAAATATGACAAAAGAAAATTATGAAAGGTAAAAATTTTAATTTTTTTTTTTTTTAATATGACAATTATGGCAAGTATTTTAAATCAAATAATACTCTTTTTTTTTTTTTTTAATGCTCCTTTTTATTAAATAAATCCATATTATACGAAATGCTTTTATTATTATTTAATAACTATTTATTTTTTGATTTAATACGTCATTGATTTTCATAATCATTAGTAATTCATATTAAAGGAAAAAAAAAAATATAAGATTGTGAAAATCTATTAAATACTCTTTAATAATCAAAAATATTTGTACAATATTTTATAACACTTAGTAAAAATAATTATTTTTTTATATAAATATTTACAACTTTTTCACAAATCAATTAAAATTAAGCAATTATAGCAATTTTTATATATAAATTTTAAAATAAATTTTTTAAGCTACAAAAAAAAAAAAAAAATATAAATTTTATTCGAGAATCAATAAAAAAAAATATTTATATATGTGTGAAACATAATCGGTTTTCTTTTTTTTAAAATAAACATAAAAATTAAAGTTAAAAAAAAAAAAAACAACTCTGACCTAATAAGTTATTTTAAAAACCAAAATAAAAGTTTTAAAAATTTAAATTTTTATTTTGTGCAAAATAAACTGTAAAAATTCATTTATTCCAAATCCCTTAAATTAATCGTAGATGGTTCAAATATTGAATTTCTGTTTAAGCCTTGATCCAATAATAATATTTGAAGATCTTCTTGTGTGTATAATTCATCCTTTAAAAAAAAAACAATTTAATTATTAATATATAATTGCATTATTTATTATAAATAAATTTATTTAAATAATCAATTACTTTTATGATCAAACTATGATTATCACTTATTCCAGCTCCTAATACTAAATCTGAAGGAATTGACATTTTACAATTTTGAATATCCTCTGGCTGTTTTGAAAACACCAAATTTTTCCATTTTTTAGATTTAAATTCTTCGTTACTCGCATCTGAATCTTGCAGCCATTTAATATGGCTGCTTCCATTTAGTCCTGTTTTAATCGTTTTTTCCCTTACTATGTCTTTGTATGTGTAATTTGTTCTAGCAGAGCCAGTGTTTTCTACTTTTTTCTTATTCTTAAATTGGATTAAAATAAACAATGAAAATGTTTTTAATACTATTTAAATTTGACTTCGAGTAATGCCCAATCATAAAACTATGAGTACCTTGCTAACATCTGTATTGCCCAAAACACATTGTACCAGGTTATCAGTTATAAAAAAAGTTTCATTATTGTTTGCTTCTTGTGAAGTCATTAAAACAGTTGATTGATTACTGCTTGAATCTGTGGATGATGAAATATCTGCCAAAGAATCACTATTGACACAATCTATCGAAGTCATCGCTACCAAGAGTTCCGATGGCATTAGTTCTGGCAAAGATGTATTTAATGGCACATTTTCTGTAGAACAAACGTCATGATCTTTGAAATCCAATAAAAAGCTCTCATTACATTAAAAGTATTTCAAATTGTAAAATAATTAAATAATAAAAAAAAGAAAATTACAAACCTGATAAAAGAGTAACGGAATCTAATTGACAAATAGACTGACTACTTAACAACTGAGTTTGCTCTTGCGTTTGTTCATTTTCATTGTCAGATAATTTAATACCAAAATCATACAAATCACTAGTACTCAAATCTTGATCATTATTCTCTTTTCTATGCATTTTTTTAACATGTCTATAAACTAAATTTTTCGAACTAAACTTAGAATCACATTTTTCCACGGGACATGAAAAATTTTTCGAATTATTTTTTGAATGCGTTAATATATGCTCCTTTAAATGTTGAGATCTAAAATCAATATATGTACATACATAAAATTATGATTGTGTACATTAAAGTAAATATATATACAATAAAATTATGCTTAAGATTTTGTAAAAAAAAAAAAAAAAAAAAAGTTACCTAAGAAAAGACTTATTGCAATGATTAATACAGCATACAAATTTACGAATTTGTAAATGCTTATTTCTATGACGATGAAGTTTACTTCCAGAATAAAAAGACCATCCACAACCAGGATGATCACAATGAAATTGTTTTTCCCCTGTATGTGTTCTCATATGTTCTCTAAGCCTATAAATTACATTTGTAATTTCAGAATATGCAATAGTAATACTGACACTTATCATTGTATTCACAGTAAATTGATTTAAAAATTTCATGACTTACCTGCAAGGTAATTCAAAAATTTTGTCACAACCTTCCCAAGAACATTTTAAATCTTCTAATTTATGATCATGACTTCTCATATGAGAACAAAGAGCATTTCTGGTAACAAACGATTTATCACAGCCTTCTCGTTCGCAACTAAGACAAACAAGAAAAAAGAGATTACACAAATATGAAGAAATTAAAGAGTGTAAATTTTGAATTTAAAATATTAATCATAAAAATTTATTATGATCTTACTTATATGAACGACCCAAATTCACATGTGTAGCTCTGTGAAGATCTAAACTTCTCTGATTGTGAAATGCAGCATTGCAGTCACTTACTGTACAAACAAATTGTTCTGCCCTTTCATGAACAGTTCTTAAGTGCTGTCTAAGATTATACAAAGTGGTAAACATTTTATTGCATGATTCATGAACACACTATTACAAACAAAAATTTAAACATTAAAAAAAATTATTATTATTATAATAATTTAAATTATCTGTTTTTTTGTAACATACTTTAAACCATTTTATATTTAAATGAGAATTTTTGTGTCTTTCTAATTTAGATTTTGTCGCAAATGACCATTTACAATTGGTAAAGTCACATTTAAAAGGTCGTCCATTATGAGTTTTGAAAAAATGAGTTTTCAACAAATACATATCTAAAAACAATGTATTACATCCTTCGAATGGACAAATATAATGCTTTGTCATATATTCACTTTTAAACCAATGAATTTCACTTAATCCAACTTCCTGAAAATTTTATAAAAAAACAAATAATTTTAAAATTTTTTTTCCTAAAAGAGCTCCTCCTTCCTCTTTTAATTCTTACATTAAAACAATTAATAAAAAATAAATAATTAATAACCTGTAATACTTGTGCAGCTTGTCTATCTTTCGCCTTGAATGCATTTATTGATGCCGGAGTTAATGTTAATATGCCTTTTTGAGGTAACATTTTACGCAATAGATTACTAAATAATTTTTTTTTTTAAATTATAAATAAAAGTAAATAGATAAATAAAGATTAAATCAGCAATCAGAAGTGAAAGAAACGCAATTAAATATAAAAAAATTATCCATATTTATTATTAAACGAATAATTGATAAAAGTAATTTAAAGCTGGATTAACCAAAAAAATTTACTATTTACATTGTCAATAGTTTTTTTTTGTTTTAAAAATAAGCCAATTTTAATCAGCTGTTCGCCATTTTATTTTAAAACCGGATATGAATGCTTTAGTTTTGTAATGGCCGGAAGTGAACATTTTTGTTACAAAAAAAATATTTTAACATTCTATAAAAGTAAGTTTTTCATTTGATAAAAATAATGTTTATTTATTGAACTTGAAAATATGTATTTAAATTTAATTTCTTTAAATTTAATCTGCACGTAATTTTTAATTAGTAATTATACTTTCAATTACATTTTTTGTTTAAAATCACAGACCATTCGGAAAAATATTTGCAATAATATTTTTGTGATTAAAGTTAGAGATTTGTTTGTTTAAAAACAATAATAAAAATATTTAATTATGTTTTTAAATCGATTTGAAATTATTATTGTTTACGACATTGTGTATTTTTAAAATTTTTTTGCCAACGAGTTTTTTTTTTTAAAACGCCAGAGTAAGTTTCATGAATAAATTTTTTTATCCTTGATTTTTAATTATTGTCCTAAAACAATAAAGTTGTCTACTTTCCAATCGAATAATAATTATTTCCTATATTGTTTCCGTATGTTTAATGTTAAAATTATTTGCATAATTTTTGAAATATTTTTTTTTTGTTTTAAGCTTAATCAAAATTTATATTCGAAAGCTTACTTTCACTTTTTCATTTAATTTTTTCTTTTTGATAATTAAAATGTGTTTCGTTGTAATTTTTAAAGCTATTTTATAGGTTATGGCCTTTTGTCGAAAAATAAAATTCCCAAATTACATTTAATTAAAAATATATAATAAACTTAATTAAATATATTTAATATATGAGACAGATTATATATTCATTTCTTATTTATATAAATGTCCCAGCTTTGAGTATTCGTTTCGTTTTGATAAAATTAAAAATTTACTTGTAGCTTTATGAGTAAATATTTAATCAAATCAAAATAAAAATCAAAAATAATTTTTAATAAATCCATATAATAATAAAATTTTAAAAAAAAAAATACCCAAATTATTTCAGATAATTATTTTCTTAAAATAATTCATAACAAAAAAAAAAAAAAAAATGATATGTAAATACACTATACAGTATAAAACTCGAGTGTAGCTTTCGAGTACTCATAATATCTTGGCTTGCATCATATGTGGTTTCACATGGGAAAAAAAATAACATCACCACCATTTTTTTAAACATATAAAATAAATGTGAAAGACGAAATCGAAAAAAAAATAACTTTTTTTTTTTTTTTTTTTTTTTTTTAAATAACCAATTATTAATATTTACATTTTTTTTTTTTTTTTTTTAATAATTTTACAAGAAAAAAAATCTTATAATCTTAAAAATTAAAAACTAATTCAATGCAATATCACCATTTATATATACCTTATTTATTTATAATACTGAAAAAAAATGATAATAATGAAATAACGGTTATAATAATTTGAATTTCCCCCTCTCCCCCCCCCCTCATTCATAAATTTTAAATTTCATTTTTCGAATCGAATAAAACAAATAATAATAATAATAATAATAATAATTAATTTTTTTATCTTTTATCTTTGGTTCATTAGCTTAAAAAAAAAAAAATGAGGGCATTTCGATAGTTTAAATCCATGATAATATACCTTTATAAATAAATTTGAAAAAAAAAAGACAATAATAAAACCGTATTTTTCAACATATATATAAAATAAAAAATAATAATAATAATAATAATAATAATAATAATTTAACAGTTAGTTTAATAATGTCTTCTTTTTTCTACACGTTTGTTGTATCCTCTTGTTTTTTCTTATTCAACCTATTTTTTAACCATATTTTAAACAAGTGTACTAAAACGAATAACGTATGAATAGTTATTAAACATAATGTTGCACCTGCACAAGTCACTAAAGCTTCGCCAGGATATTTCCAGTCTAAAATTTTATATATATACTCAGAGTTTTCGCTGGAAAACAAAAGATTTTTAAATTAATAATAATAATAATAATAATAATTAAAAAAAGGAAATCAAAATCGATTAAAAACAACTTACAATCCCTCTGGCCAAAAAACTTGATACAATAAGCTGAATACAGCATAAATAGATGCATAACATATGGGCATGTAAAAATGTATAAGTCTCGTCGGATGTGCTACCAATGATACTTCCAATAGTATAAATATACTATTAAATACGTGTGTCATTATATTCGTTGCATTCACTGAATCTACCTCTAATGATGATGATGATTAAAATATATATATATATATATAATAATAAATGTAAATATAATAATAATAATATAAATATATATTTTACCCGGATCGTATAAAGTTGACCAAAATATTATTGTGACAGAACATGCTCCCGTTAAAACAACCGTATAAATAATCCATAATAATTTATAATAGCATGGCATTGTTTTTTTCGGATCCTCATCCGGTTTTTTTTTCCCATTATAAGCTGCGATGCTCTTTTTTAAGTATAAAAAAAAAAAAAAAAAAAAAAAAAAAAAAAAATTTTTTGAAATTAACCCGGGGGGGTGGGGTGGGGGGAGGGGGTCTCGGTTAATTTAAAATAATAATAATTGATACTCACAACTGTAATGCAAGCAAATTGAAAATATATTGTTTCTACTGTGTACGTCCAATTTGTTAAAAAACAACAAAATTTCAACCAAGATTCATCTGTTTCTTTATTATACGGCAATATATATAAATAAGATGTCAAAAAATATGCGGCCATAACCGCTCTATACACTATCCATGACACTACAATTTTTTTTTCTTTTTGCCACTAAAAAAAAAAAAACAATTTTTTTTCTCTTTTTAAAACTCATTAATTTAAATTTAAATTGAAATTTTTTCTCACGTGACAATAAACAAATTCTTCCGGATGATCGTATTTTAACTTTAACACTTGAATATTGCATTGTTGCTGTAAAATTTTCTGAAACATCTGTAAAAAAGAACGAACAAAAAAAAATAAAAATTTTTTTTCACCCCCTTTTTAAATAAAATCTAACCCCCCACCCCCGTAAAAAAAAAAAATAATAATAATAATACGATAAAAATATTATCGTAATATACTAAATAATAATAATAATAATAATAAATAATTTTTTTTTTTTTTTTTTTTAATATTGTAAAGGTGTCAGACACGTTTTAAAAAAAAATTAATTTAATTTAATTTAATTTAAAAAAAAAAAAATTCGAACAGGAACTTAGAGTTAAAATAATAATAATAATAATAAACAAGTACAGACAATCCTTTTAAATTTAAATTATTATTATTATTATTATTTATTAAATGTGTCTTTGAAAAATTTTTTTATTGGTCTCATTTAATAAAAGGACAGAGACATTTTAACTCGATTATTCTTTCTCTCTCTCTCTCTAATTTGAACTTATTTTACCGTCGTCGTCGCCGTTATTATTATTATTATTATTATTATTCTCTATAATCACGTGAACGTAAAAATTTTCATAATAAAATTAAATTCAATTTTTTTTTTTTTATTTATTTATTAATCGATCATTTCGGATCGAAAAAAAAATAAAAAAATTCTTTAAATTATTATGATCGCGTGTTTATGACAACAAACAAACAAGCAAACAAACAAACAAATTTTTTTTTCTCGTTTGTTATACATTTTAAAAAAAATATAAAAACAAACAAATAAATTTTTTTTTTGGCATAGGATTTTTTTTTTTTTTTTTTTTGTACGTTAAAAAAAGTGAAATTAAATTTTTAAACGTCTCTGTCTCGTCTGTTTTTACGTCATTTCCTAAAAAAAAATTACAATTTATTAACTAATTAATTAATTAATTAATTCAATCGATATTATTTATTTATTCATACCAAAATTATTATTAACAATTGTAACAAAAATCATTTTTTCCCCCCATTTCCCCAAATGTAAAAAAAAATCAATAATTTTCCTTTTTTTTTTAATTACTAGATAAAAAAAAAAAAAAAAAAAAAATTTTCTTTTTTTTGTTTTTCTTCTATTATTTATCAATGATAGAAAATCAATAAATTTATTATTGATCGTAAACATACGATTGATTATTTATCGATAGTAATTAATTACCGTAATTTTCTTTTTTTTTTAAATAGAAGCAAATGTACTGTGAAAACACACACGCATACACACGCACACGCACACGCACACAGGCAAATTTATTTCTATCTTAATTGCGACAATAATTTTATTTTAAATATATATATATATTTTAATAGATTTATTAATTTTCTAATAGTTTAATTAATTTAGTCATTAAAATTTTTTTATTAATCAACGAATTCTCCGTAAATAAATAAATAAATAAATTTTATTTAAATATAAATAATTAATCAAAAATTTTTTAGGGGGTTCGTTAGTTAATAGATATTAATTTTTTTTTTTATTTATATATAATAATTAATTATATTAATTATTTTAAAGCTCATAATAATGATAATTATAATACTACTCATACTTTAAAATAATATTCGAATAATTTTTTGTAAAAAAAATCTTATTATTATTATTATTATTATTTAAAAAAAAAAAAAAAAAAGTACGACGACGTGATCAATTTTATAAATTAACGGTTATTTTTTTTTTTTTTGGTCAAAAGTATCAGGTACGAATTTTTTAAAGGTTTTTTATTTTTTCACAGTTATTTTCCAAATAATAATAATAATAACTTTTTTTTTTTTTAAACTACGAAATAACGAATAATTTAAGAATGTAAAAAAAAAAAAAAAAAAAATTTCCATTCGAATTTCGCCTAAACAACCACACAAAATAATTAAAATCAAAGTTTTCGACAACACATTTTTTTTTTTTTTACTTAATTTTTACTACTTTGAAATCAAAAAATTAATGTCTTTTCCCCTCCTCCTCCTCCTCCCCCTCCCCCCAATTCCTTTTCCTAATAAAAATTGTTATGTTTTATTACTAAGCTTAACCAACCGAAATGGTATTAATAAAAAAAAAATGAATTTTTCTTTTTCATATCCGTGTGAAAAATACATTAAAGTAAATTACTTTTGATAAATAATCAATGAATTATAAATAAAAAAATTTTCAATAGTTAAATTTTTTAGTTATTTTACCAAAGGCAGCCTTGAGAATAATTTACAGGCCATTGGTCTGAGACAGTTAAAATCAGGAACACAGTTTATTATTGAATAGTTCATTACTTATTTTCGCATAATTAACCACCTCGAATAAAACAATAGAGTTAACACCAGGAAGACCATGTTATGTTTGAATTTATTTATTTATTGGTAAATTGCTCTAATAACACTAATTTCCACCACACATAATAAATGAATTATTACCATTATTTAAAAAAAACCAAATGAAACTTTTAAAAAAAAAAAAATTTCACTCGTGTAGACTATCATGTATTAATCATATACACATGCATGTTTCTTTTGACCATTGACAAAAAACTTTCCGACAAAATTTTTTTCCCAACTGGAAATTTGTAATTTTACATAACTCGACACATTTTTCACCCCACATAATTTAACTTAAAATAAATAATTTTAGTACAAATAATTATTTTTAATATTATCATAAACATTCATTTTATAAAACATAATCGACATGAAACTTTAATATATGTTTATAACTAAAAACAATTGTTGAAATGAACAACAGAGAAAGAAAGAATAGACAAAATCACTACTACCGCAACACATCTTTATTTCAAGTTCAGTTTAATTTTATTTTTAAAAAAGTGTGTAAAAATAAAAAGAAGCATGTATATTGAGGGTTTAACCAACAGGTGAACAGTTATAAAAATAAATTAAATTTTATTTGGCTTTTTCAAATGAAACTAAAATTAATTAATAACCACAAGCAAGCAAGCAAACAATAAATAAAACAATTCTTTTCTATTATTTCAAATGGTCAATGTCATAATTAATTACTCACATTATTCGTATTATTATCATTTGTATGTATGGATAATTTATTAATAACCACAGGATAAAAAGTTTCCTTTTAGGGTAAATTTAAAATTAATTTCATTTTTACTAATATTCACAAAAAAAAAAAAAAAGATTTCGGTTAATAATAAGCACTTAACTCGGCCATCACCTAATTCAACAGTTAACATAGTCAGCTGATAAAAATTCCATAGAGGTATAAATAAAAAAAAATAATTAACGATTTACCCAAAAATCGTTTTTAACGGTCGAAATATATATTTAATTTTTAAAAAAACATTTTTAAATTTCAAAAACGAAACGCAAACGATTTTGTTTTTTCCGTTAAATTAAAACTAAAACGTTAAAATTAATTATGAAAAAAAATTAAAATTAAGGCGTGCGGGGGAGCGGGAAAATAATTAATTAAAAACGATATATATCGATTCGCCCGCGAAAACGATAAACATCTCGAAATGTAACGTCAACAAAATGAGGAAAACTCATTCGGCGCCATTTTTTCCACAAATAACGGTAAGTTCGTTAAAATAACATTTTAAAATATCTCAATTTTTTTTAGAAAAATGTATACGTGTGAGGTAAAACATAAAATTTTATAAAACGTACCTTAAAGCATACATTTTTACGTACCTTAAAAACGAGGAAAAACTCTTACGTATAAAATATATCATAAAAATAAAAAATTCATTTCCGTTAAACAAGTAAAAAAAAATTAATAATTTTACGTTTTACTATATATCGAAACACGTTTGTTATATATTAAATTTCATATAACACGCGGGTAACTTTCAATTTAACGTACAAAAAAAAAAAAATAAAACTTTCAATAAACACTCGTGTGTGTGTGTATGTGTGAGTGAGAGAGAGACAACTGAATGTAACAGTTACATTGATAAAATAACACTGAAATACTACGAACGAGTGTATTATTATTATTATGTGATTGGCCTATCGTGGGCAGGGTGTCAATTATCAGACGAACATAATAAAACTAATTGTGGTGCAGAATTATTCAAATTATTTTCCTTTTTTTTTTCGAATTCGCTAACCTTTCCTCCTGTAGTAAATTTTCCTTTAAAAAAACAAAAGAGAGAGAGAAAAGGGGCCCATAAAGTTTTTTGTTCGTTTTTATTATCGTTATTTTAATTTCCTGTCGTTAAAATTTTAATTTAAAAAAACAAAAACATATTATTCTATTCAATTTTTTTTTTTATTTTTTAGATAAAGCTTAAAAAAAAAAAAAAAAAATTAAACGATTGCTAATTAGAAAAAGATTAATTACGTTTAATTCGGATTAAAAGGTCAAAATCATCCTAACAATAAATAATAATAATAATAATAATAATAGTAAAAAAACCCAACGCAGACGATTGACGTCGTAATTTAAACCATCGAAAATTTTTTTACCATCGCGAAAAATTAAAAAAAAAACCGGAAATTGTTATTTGGCGCGCTTTTTTTTTTTTAAAAATCAAAACAGCAACTTTTTGTAAACTTATTGTTGGTTCTAGGGGGTTAAGCGAGAGAATACGTAACGACCACCACCACCCCCACCATCATTATTATTATTATTTTTAAATTAACCGCCCCTCGGATATAATTGCGAATTTATGCAAATATTTCAATTGTAATCGACATTGTTCAAAGGTTCATTTATTTCTACTTTAGGAAGAAAAATAAAAATTCATATTGTTTATTAATCGATCGAGTAGAGGAACGTATTATTATTATTATTATTATTATTATTATTATTATTTTTTAATTTAATAATCAATCAATTTTATTATTACGTCAATAACCTGATTGATCATTTAACATTAATTCTGACACGTTTACAATTGAGTCTATATATGCATGCGATCGTCAACGATTTCGACTCGTTTATTACACATTACGTACATTTTTACTATAAACCTCCCCCTCCACCCCCCCCCTTGCGCGAAATTTTATGTATTTTCCCTTTCGTAAAATTTCATCATTTACCTAAATCATTTTAAAATATCGTCTGCTTGTGTAAATAAATTAAATATGGCGGCGGCTAGAAAAAATTTAACGAAAATTTTTTTTTTTTTTTTTACCAAGATAATAATGATTTATCATTATTCATTACCTTTTCGGTACGATATTTAATTACCATTATCATTATTATTATTATTATTATTATTATTATTATTATTATTATTACTATTACTTTCGTGGGTAATAAATTATTTACTATTATTATTTTTTAAATGACTCATTTTAAAAAATTTTAATTTTTTTTTTTCAAAAAAAAAACTTTGACCCAATGTTTCGAGAAAAAAAAAAAAAAAAAAAAAATTAAATAAATTCAAATGACACATTAGTTAATCAATAATAATAATAATAATAATAATAATAATAATAATAATGATTTTTCAAGGGCACTCACTCGTTCGCTCATTAAATAACAAAAAAAAAAAAAAAAAATTTACGTATGTAATTATTATTTTGCTGATGAAATCGAAAAACAAAAAGAATTATTATCATTATTATTAATATTTTCGTATTATTTTTTATGCGATCCTTACGCCGCGTATTATTATTATTATTATTTATTTAAAAGCTTGAATCGATTTAAAATTAATAAATAAATAAATTATTGAAAATTTTTATTTTATTGATTTTTCGACATTGATAAACTTTCACTTGAATTTTTGCTTATTTGAAAAATAAAATTTTAAATTTAAAAAAAATTGCATAATAATTACGATAATGATAATAAAAACAACAACTTCGACGTCGATTAATATTATTATTATTATTATTATTACCACCACCACCGCCACCGCCATCGTTATTATAAAAAAATATCTCGAAGCTATCGATCGATACGAAATCGATATTACGTAATTATTATTACGTAAGGGAAAAATTTTTTTTTTTTTTGATTTCCTGTACGTAAATTACTTTTACTTTAATTTAATTTTAATAATAATAATAATTAATAAATAAATAAAATAAACGAAAAATAATATCGAACACGTGGAAAGAAGAAAAAATTATTATTATTATTATTTTTTCACGTTTTTTTTTTTTTTTAATAAGAACGCAAACGTTTTTTTTTTTTTTTTTTTTTTTTTTTGTTTAAACAAATTATTTAAAAAAGCACGTAACGACATTTTGTGCTTTATTAATTTTTTTTTTTTTTTTTTTGCGAGTAATTGTCTCTTTCCAATTATGTTACGTGTCGGTGGTATAATATTACATACTTGGAAAACTTAAAAGAATTAACACGCGCACACACACACGCGTTCCCTCCCCTCGCGAAAATAATAATAATAATAGGGAATAAATCACAAATGAAAATGTGGAAGAAAAATTGTTTGAGAATAAACATTAAAGCTCCATCCATTCATCCATCTTTCCATCGTCGCTTCGTTATTATTATTATTAATACAATTTTCCCCCTTCCCCCCTTCCCTCCTCCCCGAGTTATTTTTGCTATTTTAAAAAAAAAATCACGGGAATCTATTTCTAATCAGTTGCCAGTCATTTTCACAAGAGAGAGCAACCAACCAAGCAAGCAAACAACCAAACAACCAAACAAACAAGCCCGCGTTTAAATCTAAAAATAATGCAATCGGATTTTTTTTTTTTCATTTTTTTTTTATTTTCGGGGAGCAGAAGCCATTCAAATAACGCGCTGATTTAAACAAAAAAAAAAAAAAAAAAAAAATTTTTTTTAAAAAAAAAAAAAAATGAATTTTTACACGTTATTTAAAATCGACTACTCGAAATTCGATACATTGTTTTCGTGCGTTTTTTTATTTATTATTATTATTATATCGCCGTTGGATGGAAAATGGGTTGACGAATCGTAAGAATATCATTTTATTATTATTATTATTATTATTGTTTAAACAACGATTCTATTATTGATACTACGTATTAATAATAACAACTCGAAAGGAATCCATGATAATTATCATATAAAACGATTGAATCCTTAATTATTAACGATTGATAATAATAATAATAACGATTGGTAAACCCTCTCTTCCCCTCCTCTCCCCTCTCCCTCCCCCTCCTATCGTTTTATTTGGTAAATTTTCCATATTAATTGAAAACGTGTAAAATACCGATCGCAATCATTCGTCCCCCCTTTTACCAAAAAAAGCAAATTAAATCGAAAAATATGTTTTATGCGTGCGTGTGTGCGTGTGTGCGTGTGTGCGTGCGTGAATGTTTTTAACGAAAATTCCTATAAATATAAATCGAACGAAATTTTTTTTTACACGATATGCATAAAATGAAACGCATTTTTAAAATGACTTGACAGAAATGTATTGACGCGTGCAAATAACTAAATAAAATTTTTTTTTTTTTTAAAGAAAACAATTAAACGGATCCCTATTAAATATTATTTACTTTTTTAAATAATAATAATAATTTTTTTAAGAAAAAAATGTACGCGATACGTGATAAATGACTGTTTTTGGTACCATTTTAATAGATTAACTCTAATAGATTATCTTTCAGAGAGAGACTAAACACAAATGACAAAAAAGAAAATTTTTTTCATTTTCAGTGTTTGGTCTGATAAATTGGGAGAAGAATTATGGGAAATAAGTAAACTCATAACAAAACATGGCGAGATTAAATCCGGATATACGTCATTGGATACGACGACCAAAGATGGAGAAAATCTACTCGATGACATAATTAAAAACGTTGAAAAAATGCTCGTTCAAAAGGCAAATTCCGCAAAGGTGAGATGATGAAGAATGTCAATGATGGACCACAGGAAAATGACGTCACATTTATTACGACAATTTTTTTTTTTTCTGTAGTGCATAGCGAAAACGGCGGAAAAATTAAGAAGAGATACTTATTTTATGAACGATTTTAAATTAGAATATTACAATATGAAATATTCGGCCGTAGAAGGTTCGGATTCTAATAAAATGATTCCCTGGACACTGGATGAACTCACGGAATATAAAAACATGTCACTCGAACCAAATTCTAATTTTTATAACATTCCAGTTAACACCAATTACAGCGCAGTGAGTTTTATTATTATTATTATTAATTTTTTTTATTACCTTATTCATCTGATTTTACGAAATATTTTATAGTTATTAACTCGTTCGCACGCTAATATTTTTTTTTTATAAAAAACGTGACGTACGTTAGGGCACCTTGTTATAATAAAAATGGGTCATCGTTCAATTGTATAAAAGTACCATGTAATTGTTTTAAATTATTTTCGTGATGGAAATATATGTATAGGAAACAAGCAATCCATCGATCATTTTTTCCGCCAGAAAAAAACTAACGAATAATAGTAATTAACAAAATTAAAAATAGACATGTTACGAACGAGACTCCCCACCCACCCATCCATACCACACTCACACATGTCATCGTTAAAAAAAAATTAATTACAGGTTCACATACCTACTAACGTTTACGATAGATACCAACATTTGGCTGAAACCATTGCTTGGTCTGAAAATTTAGACGAGATTTTTTCAAAAAATTATCAGGCTGATCCATCTTTGGGATGGCAATATTTCGGATCCGCGTATGGAATGATGAGACAATTTCCTGGTAAATAAAAAAAAAAAAAAAGAGCATTTATAAACGAGTTAAAATTATATATGAGAGATGAAAAATTTGATGATTTATTTAGCTATGAAATGGAGTACAAGTGACAATGATGTAGATTTGTACGACTGCAGAATGAGACCTTGGTTCATAGAAGCAGCCACATGTACAAAAGATATTGTTATTTTAATGGACAATTCTGGATCAATGACCGGAATGAGAAACACAATAGCTAAATTGGTCGTAAACAGTTTGTTAAAAACCTTCGGGAACAATGATTTCATTAACGTTTTGAAATTTTCCTGGAAGCCTGAAACCGTTATGCCTTGTTTTAAAGATTCTCTGGTTCAAGCAACGCCGGAAGTATTAAAAAGTTTTCAAGAAGCCGTTTCGTTAGTTAAACCCGAAGGAAACGCGAGTTTTCCCAACGCATTTTCTTATTCTTTAAATCTATTAAAAAAGGTATTCTTATAATTTAATTTTTTTTTTGTTTTCTCACACACACACACACACACACACCCCCCCTCTCACATTCAATAAAAATATTTACAGTACAGGGAAGATAGAAACGCGACAAATAATTTAGGGGGTTGCAATCAAGCCATTATGTTGGTGACGGATGGACTACCGGGTAACGTGACGGAAGTTTTTGAAAATTTAAATTTAGATGAAAATGGTATGCCGATCGTTAGAATATTTACGTACTTGGTCGGTACCGAAGTAAAAGGCGTCGAAGACCTTCAGCAAATGGCCTGTAGCAACAGAGGTAAATTTTTTTTTTTTTTTTTTATTGAAACTTAATTCCCGTCCTCCATTTTTATATAAATTATATTTTTATTAGGTTATTACGTTCACGTTCACGATCTTGATGAAGTACACGATCAAGTTCTCAAATATATTCCGGTTATTGCTAGACCATTGGTTTTGCAAGGAAAAGAACATCCTGTCGTTTGGACGAGTACCTACGCCGACGCAAACGTGAGTTAAAGCAAAAGAAAAAAAAAAAAACTGAAATACATTGATAAAAATCAATTTAAAAAAAAAAGGTTCTCAGGTTCTCAGGTTCTTAATCGATACCCTCGTGATTGTGTATCCGTACCAAAATTATAAAAAGAAATTAACATATTTAAATTTAACTCACTTTTTATTTTATTTTCATTGTCATCTTAAAATCAAATCGTAAAATAAGGCTTAATGTGTACACTACTGTCTCATGCACCGTCCTGTCTTGCTTTTTTGTGTCGTCTTATACACAAACTTTCTTTCTTTCTTTTGCTATTACAACCATCTGAAACATTAAACCATTTTTAAATTTAATAAAGGTATAAAAAAAAAAATTGATTCGGAAAATGAAAATCTAATGATTTCGCAGGATCCTAAATTAACATGGTGGTTATGGAAAATAATGAATGACGAAGAACGGAAAAAACGTTTGATTCAACACCAAACCATAAAACGAGAATATTTTAGCAAACAAAGAGAAGATTCAATGTATTTGAAAAAAATCACTCAGGTTTGTCCAAAACCAAGCAAATCAGTTCGGTCAACAACAAAAAAAAAACTTCTTTTTTACGTAGATGAAAAATTATTATTATTATTATTATTATTATTATTATTTATTTATTTTGCAGATTTAAAAAATGCGGGTCATTCGACTACTACTATTTGTTACCCTGCATTTTATACTAATTAATATTATTATTATTATTATTTGTTTATGTGTAACGATAATTTCAACTTGTTACCTTAAATACAACCTTCCTATAAAAGTGGAAGTTTTTTTTTTTAAATGTATTTGCCCACTTGTGTTTATGTGTGCCTATGTACCTGTGTGCCTACAATTAACATTTTTGAAATTATGTGAAATGAAAAGTGATGAAATACTTTTTACGAAAAATCACTTTGATTCATAAATATTACTTCTCTTCATTTTCCAAATTTATAAATCCACTCACAATGTACAAATCGATTATCATTAATTTTTTTTTTTAAATTGTATAAATATACGAGTACCGAGTATTTTTATAAAAATACCCGTGGGTGGGTATTGATTTAGAAATGATTCTTTTACATACAGACGTAGCCGACATTAATTTTTCTCACATATTTATTTAAAAACTGATTCATGTGTACATTTATTTTAGACTCAAGGAGAAGAAAAAAATATAGAATATTTGGAATACAGAATGATGACTTCCGTTTCCGTTCCGGCATTCGACAACAGAGATAATAATGAAGTGAGTTGATTGACACTCATTTGAATTTAACGAATGTAAATTTTCTAAAAATGTCTCGCGTTATTTATACAGACAATGGCAGCAGAATTATTGGGAGTTGCTGGAGTGGATGTCGCAATCGATCATATCCATTCATTGACTTATCCGTATAAAACAGGAACGAACGGCTACGTTTTTTTGGTCAACAATAACGGGTACCTGATTATGCATCCCGATCTACGTCCAGTGGTAATTATTGTCCCGACATTACATAAACATTAATAATTTTATTGAAACATTACGTCATTCCTTATTAATTCTCGACTTGAATTTTTAAAAACGAAAAAAAAAAAAAAAAAAAAAAAAAAAAAAAATGTTTTTCTTCTTAGTTCGACGGTATTCTCAAAATCAATTACAATAGCGTTGATTTAGCTGAAGTTGAATTTTTAGACAATGAAAAAGGTTATAAAGACTTTAGCCCGGATGTAATGGACATGAGAGACTCCATGATAAATCAAATAAAAAATGTTTACTATGATAAATGGACTAAATTTCATTACGACGACATGCGTAGAGTAGGAATAGAAAAAAGAAATTATTATGTCAGACCACTGGTCGGAACTCCTTTTTCAATAGGTTTAACCGTACCTTCCAATTTTGCCGCTTATCGTATAAGTAAAAATTTCAAAATTGAAACCAACGACGTGGATGATGATGATGATGGGAATGAACCGTTGGAAGTAGACCGATACCTGAAATTTGAAGATACGAATGAAAGAGATTTGGAATGGACCGTTCATCCAGATTGGTAAATAATTTTCGGTAAATAATTTACCAACTTTGAAATTTTAACGGTTGCCATTTTACAGGACGTATTGTAAATATCATTTTTCGAATTATAAAACATTTGATTCGAAAGAGGATGAACTTATTCATTTCTTGGAAAAAATCAATGATCCCGACTGGTCTTGGAAAAAACAATATCAAGAATTAAATTCTGACTCAGGTAACAGACAGACGATATAAAATTATTATTATTATTCATTTCTCTTCGAATTCCATAGTTTTTTTTTTTTTTTATAAATTTTTTCCAGTCGAATGTAATCAACCCGAATTGAATGAAGATGATTATTATTGCGATCGGGATTTGATGGAATTATTAATGGTCGACGCTCAAATTTTAAAAACCTTCAGAGAACCTAAAATTCCTAAAAATAGTTTCGAGTAAGTAAATTTTTAATCAAATCGTAAAATTTCCCTTCGAAAGTAACAATTTTTTCTCATTTATTTAAAGGACGAAGCTATTGGATACTTACAATCCGAACCTGAGATTCGTAGCGACACAAAGCGGATTGACGAAATGGCAAATCGTACCGAAACCTAAACCTGAGGAAAACCTAACATCGGATTTCATATCCGCTTATCCGAAATCAATAGACGAACCGTGGTAGGCTCCTCGATATACGATCTAGAATATTTTCTCACGAGATTTACATATAAGTATTGATAAGTAATAATTATTTAAAAAGGTACAAAATGGCTGTTTTGCAACATGAAGAGGAAGAAGAATCTTTTGCGTTTTCCGTTCCGTTTAACACCGCGAACGATGATGATGATAATCATTATGTTATATCAACTCACGCCATTTTTCATAAAAAAACTCACGAAGGTAAAAAAGCTCCGGCTGCTGTCGTAGGATATCGTTTCGATCAGTCATCGTTTTACGATAGATTTATGGAAATAACATCTGAAACAGATAGAGTGAGATTAAAAAATTTTTAAATAACAAAAAAAACTGGAAAATTCGGAAAAATCGGATTCAAATAAAAAAATTTATTTTTCCAGTTTACTCTTCCCTGTCATTCCGATGCGAGAGAATGTTATGTTTTGGATCATAACGGTTACATAATTGTTTCGAGTAAAGACGTTAACGAAACCGGACATTTTTTTGGAGAATATGAAAGTACCGTCATGTCGCATTTAATTGATATTGGAATTTACGAGGAGAAAAAAATTTACGATTATCAGGGTCTTTGCATAGAAGAAATAGCCGTGGCAAATAAAGCAAATTTTCTTCTCATGGTAAATTTTTACGATTCATTAAACTAATTAATTAGATTATTAATTAAATACCTCTGAGTGGTAAGGCGTTCGTTTTTTTTTTTTTTTTTTTAATATCATCATAAAAATTAGGTGAAGGCCAATTATTAAATTAATATTATTATTATTTTTTTCTCATTTCAGCCTTGGATCGTCGTACAAAATTTCATAATTAATTTATTTTGGACCTTGTTACAACTTTTATCCCAAACGTATAACATAAATTTAGTCGAATCTCAACCTATTGATGATTTTAGTAAGGAAACATTTTCCAATGTTTTCCGATTATTTGTCGGTAACAATAAAAATAATTTTTCTTTTTGCAGAAGAATTTCGAGATTATGATAGTGACGAATCATTGTCCGACGAAGAAGACGAGTACGAAATTGAAAAAGAAGAAACTTTAAATTCGAGCGTTAGAATAGAGAGAAAAACATGGCCGTGCAATAAAAACATTTCCCTATATTTATTACGGCAAAATATTTTCTCACAGAAACACATTTACGGTGTCAGACATAATTCATCCAGGTATTAATTTGATTAAAATTAAGAAGGTTTTTAATAATAATAATAATAATAAACCTCATTATAACAACCGGATATTATTATTGTTTGTTTTGATAAGTGATTTTGCCCCCATTTTTCTTTTAAAACCCTTTTAATACCCAAAATTTAATTCGAAATTGTACCTTTTTTTTACAGGTTCCGTTTCGTAAACAGAATACCTCACACAAATTTAGTTTTGGTAGTTTTAAACACTTTATATAATCAAAACGATGACATTAATTTGAGCGTGACGCCGATGGTGTTACCAGAAGAAGAATGTAGAGATTTAAATATATTACATTTACCCAGGAAAAGGAACACGGCATGTTTCACACATCACGAAAAAGCAAGTACCAATTTTTCCAGGTACGAATTTCCCCATAAAATCAATTTCAAAAAAATTAATTAATTAAATATAATTTATTTATAGGAAGAAGAAATTGATTCCTGCGGGAAAGGACACGTTATCAAATCATCGGGAACTCTAATGATAATAATAATAACCGCATCTGTGATTTTATTAAATAATATTTTACTGTAAATAATTATTATTATTATTTGTATTTTATTAACTTATTAACGTTTATAAATTATTTTACGAGTAAAATTTTTTTGTAATTCTTCAATTTTCATTTTGCAATAAATAAAAACAAATCAATCATTCCAAAATTTATTAATTTATAAAAATTGAGAATAAACTTCCGGTTTTTTTTTTTAAACCCCCCCCCCTTATAAAATTTATATAAAATTTCCTCTCGCGAGTGTAACGACGGATTTTTTTGAAAATGTAATAGAAAAGTATAAAAAAAAAAAAAAAAAAAAAATGGCGGGATTTGATGAGTGACCCCCTTTGTAAGTAAAAGACGCATGACTCCCCATCTCGTGTGACGACGTGAAAAATCGATCCATTTGTAAATTTTTCCTTTTTCCTTTCCTTTCGACGCTTGCGTTCAAAGTGGTTAACGTTCAACTTGTGCAAATGATAATAATAATAATAATACGTTAAAAAATGAAAGGAAAAATTATATTATTATTTTTATCTATTTTAAATTTAATCGATTCTAATCAAAACGTCAACAATACATTTAATTTATTGTAAGTTTTCTTTTTTTTTTTTTTTTTTTTTTTTATATTTCAATTTTATGTAGAATTTTCTAAAAAACTCCTAACGTTATATATATCATCATCATCATCATCACCATCAAAAAATATAATAATAATAATAATAATAATAATAATAATAATTTCAATCGCTTTTCATTAAAAAGTTTATTTTAATCGAAAAAAAAAAATTGTATGTGATTACGTTTGTATAAATTTCATTTAAACTCCTTTATATAGTTTTATTATTATTATTATGATTATTATTATTATTATTACTGATACTCTCACTAAATTTTACGCATAAATAATTTCATAATAAATGATTACTATTAAAATTATTATTATTATTATTATTTTTTCTGAAAATTTTAAGAAATCATCCATTCGACGTTCTCACGTTTATCATACAAATTCAACTCGTTTATTATTATTATTATTATTATTATTATTATTATTATTATTATTATTATTATTATTATTATTATCATTTCCTAATAAAGCACACCCATAACGTAATTTTCATGTAAAAAAAAAAAAAGGCAAAACCAACATTCGTGTGATTTAAATAAAAAATTTTTAAATCTTAAATACGTTCCTGATTTTTTTTTGGATTAAATACCCTATTGAAAAAATCTACATTGGTTTTTTTTTTAAATTTAAATTTATTAATCGTAAACGTTTCAAAAGTCACATTATTATTATTATTATTATTATTATTATTAAAAAGGTTAAGGTGCACGCACACATTTCGAAAATAAAAATGTAAAAAAAAAAAATAAATTCAAGGTAAAATATTAAAAAAAAAAAATGATAACTCTGATAAGACATTAACATTTAAGATCAAAAAAAATAAATAAAAATTAATTTAAATTATTATAAATATCAAAGGGATCAAAGGGAAAAACATCCCTCGGGATAAAAAACTTAATAAAATAAACAGGAATTTTTTTTTCTCTCACACAATTTTTTAAAAAAATAAATAAAGACCCACAACCACATAAATATTTTTAATTTTCTCCATCAATTAACAAACAAAACAAACAAACAAACGAACGTAAAATAAAAAGCAACGAATGTTTTGTAATAGCGACAAAATAATAATAATAATAATACTTTTTTTTTGTAAATTATACTTTTATTATTATCATCATTATCATTAAATTTCTTTTAATGCAATCGACGTGATTTTTTTTTTGGCAGAGTTTTGGCACGATCATGGGCTTCGACTTTTGGAACGGAACTTTCAGCTTCGGGTGTTTTCATAACAAAAGTTGATTTAGTCAATGAGGCAAGTTTTTGTGTTTGTTTTCATAAAAAAAAAAAATTCGTGCTAGATTTCCCGTAGTGGAAAATTTTTTATTTTGTTTTAGCAGACGAGTTGTTTTAAATGCAAAAAAAAAAATTATCGACACTTAAAAACAAGTAGATTTATTACTGACGTAATAATGACATGATTTTAAGTACATAATTTTTATATATAAAAAAAAAACTTTTCTGCTAGTCTCCTTTTCATCGTTGAATTTCCCGCCCCCCCCCCTCCCCAGTTTCAAAAAAAAATTTAATATTTATTTACAGAGCTTTAAAGATGCAAAATTAGCAGAGAGAGATGATAGAACGGTTACGGGTGAAATTACAAAAAATATTAAAAACATGATGGATGAAAAAATCAGTGCGGTTAGGGTAAGGGTTACAAAAATTTTTATCGAATGATTAATTAGAACCAGGAACCTTTAAATAAACCTGAATTTTTAAATTATAGAGAATAATGGATGCGGCAGAAAATACGGCAATGTCATCTCAAAATGAAATTTTAGAAAATTTTCAATATTACAATGCTAAATGTTTGATTATGGACGATGATCCCTGCACGAACGATTCACTCAAAGCGGATTTACTACCAAATAGTCATTTTTGGGATTTAGAAGTTAATACTTCGTTTAGTGCGGTACACGTGCCGACAAACGTGTACGACAGAGGTGAGAAAACAAATTTCGAAAAAAAAAAAAAAATTAAAAAAATGTTTTCTCATTTTTTCCCCCCCATTTTTCTCAACAGCAACTGACGTTTTAAAAGCGATAAGATGGTCTGAAAATTTAAACGACATTTTTAAAAACAACTATCAAATCGATCCTTCTCTAACGTGGCAATATTTTGGTAGTTCCACGGGATTCATGCGTCAGTTTCCAGGTACGGAAACAATCATATGAGCAAAAAAAATTTAAGCTTTTCTTTTTAACGAGAGTATTTATTTTGTCAGCCATTCAGTGGAAACAAGATCCGGTGGATCTTTACGACTGCAGAACACGGTCTTGGTTTATAGAAGCCGCAACGAGTCCGAAAGACATTGTTATTTTGGTAGACGGTTCTGGATCAATGACGGGAATAAGAAAAGAAATAGCCAGACACGTCGTCAATAATATTTTAGACACTTTGGGAAACAACGATTTTGTTAATATTTTATCGTTCAACGAAACGACAACGGAAGTCGAACCTTGTTTCAAAGATATTTTAGTTCAAGCCAATTTAGCCAACATTAGAAATTTTAAAGAAAAAATGGAAGATATCACGACTTCGAACATTGCAAATTTTTCTTTCGCACTCAGTAAAGCCTTTCACCTGTTACAAAAGGTAAAGTAAAAAAAAAAAAAAAAAAAAGGAAATGGAAAATATGACGAAATTTTAACTTGATCCTACTTTCCCAACAGTATCGAGAAAATGGTTCGGATGATTATAGCGGTGCTCATTGTAATCAAGCAATTATGCTCATAACCGATGGCGTCCCATACAACTTCAAAGAAATATTTGCCGAATTTAATTGGCCGAATATGCCTGTACGAGTTTTCACATACCTTGTCGGAAGAGAGGTAATATCATTTTTCATTTTTACCCACCCACCGACTTAACTCATAAGCAAATTAAACCTTTTAAAAACTTTTGCCAAAAAAACTCCTTAAATAATAATTATTATTATTATAAAAAAAATTTAATTATTATAATATATGCTTTTAAATATTAAATTGAATTATACAAAAGGTTATACGAGATATTAAATAATAATAATATTAATCAAATATTTAAATTTATGTAAAAGAAGAACTTGAAAAAAAAAAAAAAAAAAAAAATTCAACTTATTTATCATAAAGCAGTTGCGCTATTACATTTCAATATATTATATTCGATAAATGTTGCCCAAATCCGAAACTACTTAAAATGTCGTTTTATTGTAAAAAAAAAAAATAAAAAAAATTTATTGAGGAAATGGTTTATGTTTCAAAACACGCTCGATTGATGTAATAATAAATAAATAAATAAAATATCAAAAGATTCTCCATGGAGAATTTATTTTCAAGACAAGTTTCCAAAATGAAGAAACGCGAAAATAAGTTTTTAATTTTTTTTTTTTTTTTTCATTCTCTCTTACAAAATTCTATTACGTTCTCTCGATCCCACCACCTTATGTATCAACTCTCTCTCTCTCTCACTGTCATTAATAAAACGTACACACCTTTGTCAATTCATTAAAAAAAAAAAATTTTCGAATACCGTTAGATTACTCTTTTCCAAAATGGCTACCATCATAAATTTTTTACAAAATCAACTGCAAATGAGTAAAGTAAATGATTTAATTTTTAAGCTAAGTTAAAAAAAAAATATATCCAACGATCCTTTCATTTTTTTTTTTTTTTTCTTACATAAAATTAACTCAAGGTTGCCGACGTACGGGAAATAAAATGGATGGCCTGTGCTAATCGTGGATACTACGTACATCTGAGCACATTGGCAGAAGTTCGGGAACAGGTTTTGCAATATATTCCGGTCATGGCACGCCCACTCGTTTTAAATAGAACTAATCATCCGATTATATGGACTCCGGTTTACGCGGATGTCACGGTAAGAAAATAAATAAATTTATCGAGGAATTATTTAAATTTTTTTTTTACCTTAAAAAATCATAATTTTTACTCTTATCCTCTCCACATCTCATTTCGAAAAATTAACCGTTTCAGGATCCTAAAATGACCGATTGGCTTTGGCAAGAAAGAGAATTCGCTGAACAAAAACGTATATTTTTAGAATATAGAAAACATAAGAAAAAAAGACGGGAAGAACAAGATAAAAAATTCATAACGAGATTTAGAAAGGTATAAGAGTAACGTTAAACGTAATAAACATTCAAATTTTCACGTTGAAAATCGACATTTTGTTTTAGGGCAACGTCGAAAAAGAGGGAATGCATCCCTATAAATTAATGACGTCTGTATCAATGCCAGTATTTGATCGCAAAGAAAATGCAGTAAGTTAATTCAAACAGTTTTCTTTTTCTTTTTTTTGGAAAACAACCATGATTTTAAATACGCATATACAAAACCCTTTGATATTATAAAAACCTAATACTAAATTTTCTTTTTCTAAAAAAAAAAAAAAAATAAAAAAAATAATGAGATTTAAATGTTCTGACAGAACATAACTGAGCGAGTCCTGTTAAACGAAGCTTTCTGGGTGGAACGAACACGTGAGGTATTAATAAAGAATCCGCCGCTGATATTTTTTAACGAAAATTTAGAAAACGTATTAGTTGCGGCCTTTTATTTTAAATTCTACTTATTATTATTATTATTATTATTTTTTATAAATCAAATTTTAGATGAGATAGTTTTAACTATGATATCGGTAGATTTGCTCACAAATGTGTTTACGTGTGGAAACGTATAGAATTCATTCAATAAATATGGCAGAGCCCTTACGTAAATATCATCATCATCATCATAATAATAATAGTATTATTATTAGTATTATTAATTATTATTTTACAGAAATAAAAAATGTTAAAATCGTAAATATTTTAGCGAATATTAATAATTTATGGGTATTTTAATATTAAAAACGAGAAGAAAAAAAAAATATATATATTTTTATATAATTTAGTCGAATTAGAAAAATTTAATTAAATTTTATTATCATTATTATTATTAATATTTTAAGTGTTTAGAAGACACTCTTTTTTTTTATTATTTATTTATTAGAATTAGTTGTATTTTTTTTTTTTTATTGTGTCGTTTGCCTTTATGTTATTTACAATGATAAAGTAGTTTTTGTTGTATTAGGTAAAACTTGGTTTTTTTTTTTTTTAGAAAAATTAATTTACATAACTTTAGGTAGTCATTAATATTTTAAAACCATTTATAAAACCAGTTTTTTTTTTCTTATTATTTCTTATTATATTTTTTCTCCCGTGTAAAAAAAAAAAAAAAAAAAATTTTCACATGGCCTTTGATATTGTCTTAGCTATCTTAAAATAATCATTTATAAAACCCTTGAAACCCTAAATTAAAATAAAATAAAGAAAGAGTTCAAGTGTTTCGCCAATGTAAAACAATTTTCAAAAAACAAAAAAAAAAATTTTCATTTCGATTAATCACTTCTCCCCACCCCCCACCCCTACCACTCGCCTTTTGTTTTTTTTTTTTTAACGATAAATAATTTTTCTCGTGTTATTATTTACCCTTTTAAATAAAAATAAATAAATACCCACGAATTAATTTTAAAAAAACCTTTAATTTACCTAATTTAAACCTTTAAACCTTAACCTTAAATTTTTTTTTATAATGATTCATTATTCAATTTATTTACAGACAAAAGTAGCTAATTTATTAGGTGTCGCAGGAACGGATGTTCCGCTTGCGGAAATGCAAAAACTCATGAATCCATTTAGAGTAAGATATAAACACATTAACTCTTACAAATATCGACAAAACCGAAAAAATTACGAGAAAATTTTTTAAACGAATTTTTCTTTTTTTGGGGGGCTTTTTTTTTTCAGTTAGGCGTCAATGCTTACGCTTTTATCGTTACCAATAACGGATACATTTTATATCATCCGGATCTTCGACCGGTTGTACGTACTCACTTCCATCATTTTTTTTTTTTTTCAAAAAATTTAAATTTATGTTTTTACATTTGGTAACATTGAAAATTTACAGTTTCAAGGTATTTTAAAACCAAATTACAACAGTATTGACATGGCGGAAATAGAATTGGTCAGCGATGGTTCCGGACCGAGAGAATTTAACAAAGATCTTTTGGACGTGAGTAAAGTTTTAAAATTTCAAAAACATTCATTCATTCATTCATTCATTCGTTTTTGGCTCGAACTCATGATTTTTTAAAATGACCTTAGCTGAGACTTGCAATTATCAATCAAAAAGAAAATGGAAGCGCTTACCTTACTGTCAAGTATCATTACGATGATATGAAAAGAGTCGGTCAATTGCGGAGAAAATATTATTATTCTCCAATTGAAAATTCTCCATTTACCGTGGTTGTTGCCATTCCAGCCGATTATGGAAATTATCGAGTGGATGGCGAAGTAGAATTACATAGGGCTCATCAAGTTGGTGAGTTTTTGAACCGGATAATATTATCGACACAAATATCAGCCTCACAACTGAAAAAAATAAAAAATAAAACATTACTTTTAGGTGAAGCCATATTAGAATTATTCCACGGAAATAATTGGAGAATTCATCCCGACTGGATTTATTGTAAATATTGTAATGATACGTATATACAATTTGACAGTCCCGAAGAAGAACTTTTTCATTTTCTCAATAGATCTATTCATCCAGGATGGAAATGGAAAGTTAAACCGAAATTGTCTTTGGATGGACATTTTCGTAAGTAACTTAAAAATCATCGAAAATTAATTTTTTTTTTAAATTTATAAAGTTTTTTTTGTTTTTTTTCGACAGTTAATTCTTCATCTCAAAAACCCGAAAGGCTGGATAAAGACTCTTATTACTGTAAGTTTGACATTAATTTTCACATTACAAAAAAAACCTTTTA